ATACTTGCGCGGAAAACTATTCTCATGAGCTATGTGAGCACTTCAGGTGCCAATTACTCGAAAGCCACGGCCGCGTCAGGGTCTACGGTGACGGGCTTGTCGAACAACCTGCTCGTGGTGCCAGCCGGGCGGTTCGAGATTTTTCCGTTCCAGCAAATGGTTCGGCGGAAGTGTTCCAGGACGTGGTGAGTTTTCGCCTGGCAAGCGTTCTCCCTATGAAAAGCCACATATGTCCGTTTAACAACACTGTGACGTGGCGGATGTGACTCGTCACTAAATAAAGTCACTGCTCTTTGCTTCATCCTGGCGAAGCATTGTATTCCAACAACTTTATGCTGTAATTCTGGGAAGCATTGGGTCTCTGTTTGACAAAGGAACAAACGAAAGGCGTATGAACTGAGCAATCAGTCACCGGCTCCCAATGGGCGCGATTCCCTGAATTCGCTCCGCTGCCTTGCGAGCAGGCTATTCAGCCAAACGCTCGGGGTGGTGTCCCCTAAGTCAACACCCTACTTCGGCTTGGGCAACCGGGTAGTATCTCGTCCTGTGACGGAACCATGGACTTTAATGTGTTGTGTTGTGGTTTCTTTTACCATTTCTGTACCTTCCTTTGAGTCCCATGGTTTCTGATGACTCTATGTCTATTCGTAGACTGTTGCAAATATATATATATATATATATATCTAGAGTTTATTCAGAATTGATTGCGCCGCCCCGACGTCATTAACAAAAAAGATAATATTGTTCGTATAATCAAGATCACCCAACTTTTGACCGGGAAGCGCCTCTACATTTCATCTTGAGACTCCGCAAGGGAACACTCCATGATGCAGTCCACGATGAAGTTGAACAAAAATGGGGAAATCGGGCAAGCTTGACGGAATGCTATCCGTATATATATATATATATATATATATATATATATATATATATATATATATATATATATATATATATATATATATATATATATATATGTATACGGATAGCATTCCGTCAAGCTTGCCCGATTTCCCCATTTTTGTTCAACTTCATCGTGGACTGCATCATGGAGTGTTCCCTTGCGGAATCTCAAGATGAAATGTAGAGGCGCTTCCCGGTCAAAAGTTGGGTGATCTTGATTATACGAACAATATTATCTTTTTTGTTAATGACGTCGGGGCGGCGCAATCAATTCTGAATAAACTCTAGAGTCGTTCCATCATTTAGCTTACGCATTACACATTCAGAGCGGTGTAGTTGCAAGGCTAAGAGCCACTTAATGACCGCTTGACACTTGATAGTCAGGAACTCAATGTAGTTGATCAATTCACTTGCCACATCAGCTGCATCTGCAAAGATGAACTTATAATCACTGACGTTAGTTTATGTACTGCAGACGCTTAAACTGCTTACTTGGATCTGAAAAATCTGGCGTCGGAAGGTAGTGTCCATCGGTCTGGAAGGTCGTGTTTACAAGGACACAGCGAAGGTCCTTCCATACTATGGCAGTGAAACTTGGATTCTTCCATCTGAGACGCCTTCAATTCTTTGATCATCGCTGTCTGCGGAGCATTGCCGGTGTCGGATGGCACCAGTATGTCTGCAACGATGATGTGCGTGGGCGAGTGCTAAGTAGTGATAATCATCCTAGTTGTTTAGTATAGCAGATAGCACTGGATAAGTTGCGTTGGCTTGGGCACGTAATACGTATTCCTGGGCACCGCTTACCTAGGAGGACATTGTTTAGTCCGTCAGGTGTAGGGTGGCACAAGGCTCGAGTTGACTAAGCAGCGTGAAATGAAGTCACTGACTACCAAACTCGGTGCCGTCGATCCGCCTCACCTTCTAGGTTGGAGTCTACGTGATGCTCATTGTGTTTGGCTTGAGACTTTATAGGACATAGCTCGCAGTCGGCATAATTGGCGCTTCTGCCTGTTTAAAGTGCATTTAGTGCCATGTTGTCTGCGGAGTATTGCCGATTACGACGCAGGACAGAGAAGGCCGTAAGGAAGCTGTCTCGGTAATGCCGAATTATCTTTGCACGATAGCTGATTTTGTGGCGGTAGGTTGTTGACAAACATATAGGCGCCTTGAAGCTAATTGTTTGTTTAAGGCATTAAGGTTTTACGATAGGTTCCTATTCTTTCCCAGGTATTATTTTTCGTTAGGAAAGTCACCATGGTTGTATGGGGGGTCTTATACCGTCTATTTAATATGCAGCACAATAAAACAATTGGAATGAACTTTACTCAGATTAAAAAGACCTAGTTTAAGTGTACGTTGCTTTAACCCAACTGTCATTCTGCTGCAAATTCGGTGTCAGTTTTGCGTATTTGCTTTCAATTAAATTCTCTTGGTTGTTTGATACCCCCGGTGCACGTGTTTGATGTGAATGTTGACAAGGTACCTATCTGTCTAAAACCCTCCACCTCGATTATTGGCTTCAAGATACTGGGAAGGGTTGCTGAAGGGGATGGAGTGCACGGTGCTCCTCGTAGCCGTGCTGCACTCAAAGAGTGGTTCCATGCACTCAGTGTGGAGCGGACTACGCTCCAGCCAGCGCCCTCTATGCGCTTTGTTCCTCAAATACAGCGTGTTTCTGTTTGCCTATGAAGGAGTGTGGGCCGGCTCAATTGATGAAATGTGGCTCCCATCCGCATGCCTCCCGGTCTTATTCCTTCGGGTTTACACCGGATATGCGTTGTGTGGGTGGGACCTTGGGTTGTGCAGCGCAAGTCACCCATGGTGCCTCTGTAGGCGCAGGCGTCCTGTGGCTGGCCACAGTGACAGACAAATTCGAAACTGGATGCCGCTAACCATCTGTTTCCCTGGTGGATTCATACAGCTCTACTTGGTAGTAAGCGTGACTTAAACCAAGCTTGGAAAACTTCTGTCCACCTGACAGAGTTGTGTATAAGTCATCAATCCGCGGAATGGAATAGTGTTCTGACGTCGCCGGTTGGTTAGCAGTCAATTTGTATTCACCACAGATAAGGACGGTGCCATCAGGCTTTTATACTGGAACAATTGGCGTGGCCCAAGATGGGTGGTGTACTGGCGATAATATTCCATCTTTCTGGATGGGCTCCAGCTCTAAAACAACTTTCGGACGAATCGCAAAAGGTAAGCTCCTTGCTTTGAAAAATTTCGGCTGGGCGTTCGGTCTGATATTGAAAGAGACTTTAAAATCACGTAGTTTACCGGGCGATGTTTCATCAAACACACAAGCGTGCATTTTCAACAATGAAAGAATGTCTGGAATATGGTCCACTTTTTGACGGTTTGAAGTAGTTCCGGCATATTTTTGAGCAATTTTCTACCAAGTAAGTTACTACAGTCTGTGTTGACAACAAGTCAGGAAAGAGCAAAAGTGTCGGCCACATGAATACCCTTCGCTTCACGATTTCCCAACCTGGAAACGGTTGCGATGTACTCTCAATACGAATGTATTAAAATTACAACCGATTCAGAAGTGAGTGTGAACCAGAATGCATCAGCTCATCAAAGGATGGATGCAGCACACAGACTGTTCGATGGCAGGACTACTGGGCGTAGCCCAATTACGTATCAATAAACCGAACGGCAAGACTTAAGCGCAGACAGGTTACGATTATACGAAAATTACCCTGACCTATCTCCAACATGTAGAAATCCTTAATCGTAGACATAAGTGAAAATCCTTACTTGAGTAGATGCAAAGATTGCGAATTTAAGTAAGTGCTCAGCAAAAGTGAATTATAGGTAGAAATTCATCACATCTAGGCTCAATCAGACAGCCGAATTAATCAGACGAATGTGCAAAAGCGCATGAATATGAGCTTTGAACAAATGTGGTTGATTACCTCGCACTTTAAAACTCCGGGTCTCCATTTAAAGGACGCAACCCAATAACAAGTCGTTAACCATCGCGCAGAGGTTTTGGTGAACAGCTTGTGCTGTACTAGACATTTCTAACGCCTCCTGAACAATTAATTGCTAACGAGGTTAGCCAACTAGACCTTACTACTATTTGTAGTTTCAATAGTGAATACCCTCGTCACTCATATGCAAGGGCCGTTCGCTGTCATCCTGTCATTTTACCGACACTAGACGAAGCTAGATCTAGTCACATTGCTTTACATTTATATCTTACATTCAACTTGCATTTCTGTCGCACATAATATACAGTTCACTCAGGTACTTGATGGTTGGTTAGGGGTCCCAAACTCGTCTTCTCGACTCATATGCAGTTCTACACTCAGAGGGCTGTGCTTTCTCTTAAACTTTGAGGATTCACATCGTGTCTGAAATTCAAGCTTTTTCTGCAGTAGGAGTTCACTCCATTTGAAGAAGTTTTGCGTACTAAAACTTTACCTTCTTCAAATCGCGGCTGAATGTTCCCAAAAATTCCGGAATTCTTGTCACTCTAGAAGCTCCTCCGCTCACAAAGGTGTTACCTAACAGGCACTGATTCCATGGCTTCAGGGCTTGTTCCGCTTTTATTCATGAAAGTATAGACTGTCATAGTTACAGTAGACTCCGGAGTTAATACTAATTATCACCCAGTAATTTGATGGGCTACCCAACGAACACGGGTATTTGAACCTATTCAAAATGTCAACTACTCTATACCAAAGTACGCTGTTAACCATAATTTCTATGGTGACATGCATTCTGAAATGGGTGCACAAGATCAGTGGCCTATTGCAAAACCGATGTAAAATTCATAGAATGGACTCAGTGCTGACAACGGAATTTCTGGTATGAAACTGCAGTTCAATAATATTCACAACAATAACCAAACAGCATACAAGCCCCAGAATTAAGTTGTGCAAGGCGCAAATAAAATCCAACAACAAAATGCGTAAATATCCTCCAGAAAGAGCGTGAGTATTAGCTTAGATGGCGCATTTGTTTCAATGTAAAGAGATGGAGAAAATGCAAATCGAAATAAGCATCATGTGCTGATTCTAAGAATGCTTTGTTTGCCCTTACAACTAACTCACGTGCGATGCTTACGTGTTTGGTTTTCATTTTAGATTGTGGTACAGCATTTGACTTTCATCGGACGCAGCCACATTTGTTTCTGGTGGCCACTGAAGAGGGTATGGTGTACAAATGCAGCAAGGCATACAGTTCGCAGTACCTGGGACGCTATGAAGCTCATCACATGGCAGTGTATCGTGTCGCCTGGAATTGCTATCATCCGAACATATTTATCACATGTTCAGCCGACTGGACAGTGAAAATTTGGGATCATAACAAAACGTAAGCTGTTCTGAAACACTGCTAAGTCTTGCAGCTTGCACTACGTTTCTCATGAGAAAAAGTGGATAAAAGCGGTTTGCTCGCCCACCAGCTCAGTCAGTTACTTAGAGAAACGCGAATGGCATGACACAACTGACGCGACGACCCACTTACTGTACGGATTAAGAGTGCGCGAGCTAATTGTTAGGCAACAACATTACGGGTCAACACTTGCCGGGTTCCCTGTCTCAGCATGATGATGGATCAGGTGAATTTCGTCTTCCGAGTAAGAAACACCCATTTCCTGCTAGTGCCCGTATGTCTGAGTTGCAAATATTCCAGCCGAATGATGTGAATTGATTTTATCTTTAATCCTGGGTGGAAGAGTACGAATCCGTTTAGCGCCAAAATGGGGAATACATGCGTTTACGGTGGCAGTCAACATCCTAGATTTCTCAAAATATGGATGATCTAAATAATTTTCAAATGCTATGTTCAAAGACCCACCATACAAGACAAGGTTGCAGCACGATGAGGTACCAATGCGATAAAGAGTGACCAAGAGATTTAGTTCTAGCGATCAGTCGCCACTGTGCGAAATAGAGATCAAGATAGCGTGAACTTCGATGAGCCCATGAAATGCTTACTGATGGGAGGTGACTCTGGTTTTGCACTCAAAAGGACAGACTTGCTGTCCAACTAATATAATTAGCTCCCTTGTTACGGTGACCAGACAGAAGTCAAAAACACAATCTTGCTTCCCTTTAAAAATGTATCAACAGAATTAAGAAGCAATATTCATTTTGTCAGAAGACAAATGCGCAAGACTGAGCTGATGAAAGCGAAGTAACCTGAGGTATATCAGATCGACAACTGCCTTAAACATAGGCAGGTGTTCTAACTCGAGTTAAAGGAGGCAGGACAAGAGAAATTTAGCCAGTGTCCACTTAATGCCTCAAATTAAAGTGGGATTTAATTCGAACATTGTATGCACGATTGAAACAAGCCATCACTCCTGGAATTAATCCTGACTTAATCCTTAATGTGCCGCAGCGGCCATTCAGTCCTAACATTTTTGGTTATGTGTGTTATCCCAGTATTGTTAATAAGGAAACAGCGGCTCATCGAACTATTACGGACTATTTTAAGCTGCACAACTTAGCAGAAACTTTTGATTGGGACCTGCAGACGCACAGTTCAACGAATGACGCGTGGAATGAACTGAAAGATAAAATTAACTGGGTCATACAATCAGCATCGAAAGTTGTACCATTATGAGCTTCGCGCCGGACTAATAGGTGGACCCGAAGCAGAACACGCAAATGAATCAACAGAAGAGATAAGATCTGGAGGCAACATTCGCTAAGCCCATGTGATATCACATGGCAGAATTACAAAGCAATCAGAAACTACTGCACGTTGCCCATTAGAGTCGCTAAGTACGAATACCAGGAGACCATGATGCTGACATTTATCAGTAACACTAAACTACTATACAAATTTGTGAATGACAAAAGAAAGGTTAAGCTCGGGATACCACCACACAAGACGCCCAGTGGCCTAACAACCACTGCTGTGGATGCCACGAAGGCCTTAGCATTGCAGTTTGGCTCGGTAGTTACAAATACCATGGAATCTTCGCCCAACAAATGCCGTTGGCTTATCCAGCGTCACCTTTACTCCAGCAGCTGTTGCAAGCAAATTACAGTCTCTCCGGGAGTACATTGTCCCTGCAATCGACATGAGCTGTTCAAAGGTACTGAAAACCCTTTCTCCCACCATTGCAGCACCACTTGCAATCTTTTTCCAGGGTCTGCTTAACTCCCATACACTCCCATCTGAGTGGGAAAATGGAATTATCACTCCACTATACAAGGGAGGTAAGTGATCGTATCCTGCCAACCACCGACCTATTACTCTCCTTCCTGTTTTATCAAAAGTGATGGAATCGGTAATCGCAGATGAACTGACGCAATACTTCGAAAGTCTACAAATAATTTCTAATGCCCAACATGGTTTCAGACGCAGACGATCTTGTATCACCAATTTGCTGCTTACTCTGGACTCATGGACCAGGGTGGTTGATGAAGGAGTCCCATAGATATGATGTACTTGGATTTTTCTAAGGCAACCGACAAGAGCAAGCACTTTTTTCTCCTCCAAAAGCTTGGTGCCTACGTTATCAATGGCTCCCTGCTCACCTGGTTAGAAGACTACTTACACGACAGAGAAATCAAGGTAAGAGTAACCGACACTCCCTCTGCAAGTCTGTGCGTCTCCAGTGGTGTACCACAAGGATCCGTCCTCGGCCCCCTACTGTTTTCAGTCTACATAAATGACCTACCAGCAGACATTCTATCACCGATGCAAATATTTGCAGATGATGCTAAAACATGGAGAGCAATTCGCTCAGCATCCGACCGTGTCTACCTCCAGGATGATCTGACTCGGATTAACGAATGGGCAGAAAGGAACTAGCTCCCACTGAACCCTGCAAAGTGCCGCCTGCTGACGGTGCGCAGCAGCTACATCAACACATACCGTTTGGGGCAACACGTCCTGTAACGCGTGACTAGTGAACGCGACTTAGGTACAATCGTGCAAGAGAGTCTTGGCAATTCGCTCCAATGTTAGAAAGCAGCAAGTGTGGCGAACTTGAACTCGAGACTTTTGAAGCGAGTTCTAGGCACCTTTAAGCGACGGTTAGTACCAATACTGAATAACTCTTATATTCGTCCTTTTGTTGAATATGCAATTCAGGCCTGGTGACCATAGTTACAACGAGACATTCGCCTATTGGAACAACCCCAAAGGAGAGCCACAAGGACAACGCGTGGACTATTCAGTCTGTTACGAGCTGCATCTTCGTGTACTCGGTGTGTTCTCGTCAGAATACAGACGGCTTCGCGGAGATCATACTCTCACATACCGGCTACTAACTGAAAGCGAGCATCCATGTACATCACTGTTGACCCTAGCCCCTTACAAACAAACCTGATACAACCGCCTGAAACTAGTGACGCAATACTCCCGTCTGAATTGTAGAAAGTATTTTTCTCACTTAGAATCTGTTCTCACTGGAATTCATTATCAAGATATGTGGTGAACGCGCCAGGAGTGACGACATTCGAAAGACTCTTACACTTTTATCTTAATGATAAACGCTACACAACAGTTTGATAAAGTACAATGATTTAACAACTGATACTTCACGTTCCAAGTTGGAACATTTTGATTTTAATTTTCTTTTACATATTCATCTTATTGGTCTTGTAAACGTATGCTTTTTATCCCATCATCCAATATAGAACTAATAAACTATTGAACGTGGTAGACGAAGCACAGTTACTATGCAAACTTCTTTCGTGTCTGTAGTGGAAGCCATCAGGGCGACACCTTGAGTACGGGATATTGCTGTTTTCTCAAATTTGTCGTTTTGACGCAGTAATCAACTGCGCTTTATGAATGTTCCAGCGTACACTCTGTCAATGCATAAAACGGGGTAGATGGAACCAGGGGAACAGTGTACAAGGTATGTCACTCTACGTAACGGTAGGTGCCATTTTGTCTAAATGCATAACTTAATATTGCATACTTGCCAGGTGACTTTGTGACGGAATGGGAACCGAGGAGCTACCCTGGGATCTGGGTAAGAGGATGCGACCCACACATGTCCGTGTAGGAATACTAGGGCAGGATAAGAAGCCTCCCCATGGTTTCTGTAAAACGCATTCCACAGTGCAGCGATTGACGTAAAATTCAAGATGGGTGCTCCTAGACGGCCTTGAATGGCATGAAAAGTAGTCACATAATTGTGAGCGCAAGCGCTTATTACGCTCCCCAGTAAAGTGTATTACGGTGCTGAAAGATAAAAAGGAGGTACATCAATTCACCAATCGGATATCTGACCCAATGAAGTCGTTTTCGCCTCAGGAGAATTCCCAAGTTTTACCGCTACACAAGAATGTAAACGAAGCTACTCTGGTTGCGCATGGTGATGATGGAGTGATGGATCTCACTGGTAATTTGATCCCGGGGTGGATGAGCGCCCCTGAAATCTGTCCAAATGGCATGGAACCACGTCACCTACAGTGTTTATATTATTAAACAGCCGGAAAACAAGGCACATAGACTAAAAAGGAACTGTCAAGACCCGCGCTCAACTTCGTCATAACCTCCGCGGTGTTTATTGAGATGGTAGCTGAGAATCCAGGTGTATAGGCTCGACAAAACTTCAACTGCACGTTAACCAGTGAATTGGCAATAACCACATTGGCAAAATGGGTGGATCGGAGTTTATTCGACTATGAGTGGGGCAAAAGAAAATTTGTCACAACCTCCGGCTTAAGGGGAAGGAAGATCAAAAGGCGGTACCGTGATGAAAGCGAACTGCTAGCCCACAACCGAAAGCATAAGCAGACCAGTGGAAATAAGCAAAGAGAAAAACGAAGTAGATTCATGCAAAGTCAACAAGAATTCTCAGTTTATGAGCATCAGTTGATGGTTACTGCCCATATTTGGGTACCATATGGCATATGCTGAGAACCCAGTTTTCTCATCATTTGCGTTATCACTGTCTGAAGTTATCCTACCGTTATGGACTAATACCCTTCAGACTACTGGGTTATTCCAATATTTCCAACTTAACCTGATCGCAGTCACACGTAACCATGATCTTACGAAACAGTATGCAAAGTTTTAAGCCGCGGCTAACCTGCAATTGAATAGAGTGGAACAGGTAGGCATGCCGAAGCAACTGAAGTAAAGTGGTAAACTCAGCACGTAGACTAACCTTGAACGTCTTTGACCTATCATTTTTACAAGTTTCGTATTTCACACCGGTCAACCCACGGGACTCATTAATCCCTAGCTTGTTACCCGTATTATACCATTATTTCCATATTCTAATTACACCGATGAGTTAAAAAAGTTGCCCAATAACGGCGATGAGGGAACTGAAAGAGATAAGGTACTTCGCCTTTTTACAACCAAATAAAGGAATGGGTGTTGTGACCATAGAC